GCAATTCTTTCAATTTTAATCGGAGCGACGACGGAAAGGATTAAAATCGCAGCGTTGATAAAACTTGAAAGAACAACGTACGAAATTAATTCCTTTCGACTGGGAGGAATTAAGTTTCCGCGCAAATTTATGCACAAGGCGACGCCATGCACGTTCCGTTACGTGACACATATTAATACGCGGAACGGTGATGCACGCTCGTGTGACAAATGAAGAAAGTGCCCGGCTCAGACGGGCTCTCGGGCGTGCACGAAAAGAAAATCCAGCCGATATTCCATTTAGGTGTCCTCTAGCGAAAGTCCCCGAGCACGGTGTTACGTACGGCATGCGTTGCCTGCCAATCGGCCGTTTGTGGCATGTTGTGCGCACTTGCGGACGTGCATTTTCACGTACGTCGAAACAAAGTTTTGTAAAAACCCAGGTGAAACTCGGGTGGCTTTCGCCGCGCGTTCAATTACCCAAATTTCCGATCCGTTGCTCGCGGATTTTCCCGTCTCTCTCGCGCTCAACCCAAACGAGTCGTGATATTCGTGATAGAACGCAGAATAAAAGTATATAAATAATTATATAATTATATATATATAATTTTTATGTATGTAGATTAAAGGCTCGTAGTTGTTCATTTTATTTCACAATAAGCGTAGAAAAAGATGTAACACATTGCTGAGTCAACATCCTATGTCCTCAATATAAATCTCCTTTGAAAGAGAGACAAAGGGAGGGCAAGGGAGAGAAAAAAAGAGACGGGGGGGCGTGGGAGAGACAGGAGAAAAAACGAAGGGATGTGGTTTACTAGTGTAGGAGAAATTTGATTTGTTATTGGCATGCAAATCGGATTGCCCTCGATATTTATTGAGACGACATGCATCCTGCTGTAACACATTGGGATGGGAATCGATTGCTGAAATACGGAATCGTAATCGGGAAGTTTCTAACCGGCGATATCGCATTATATCGAATATATGTACATCGCACTGCCGATCGTCTACGTCATGTACATTAATGATCGGTAAACGCGTGCGACTGACGCACGCGATCACTCGATTGTACGCAGGACGTACGTGAAACCCGTAATGCGTTTAGCGATTATCGAGCGTTACAACCAATTTAATTCTGTTGAGCTCAGCTCCCGGAGCCACGCGCGAAAATGATCGCTAGATCTTTATTCGTGACAGCAAAATCGCCACGCGTCTTGTTGTAACATGGAAAGTTACACTCATTGGCACACTTTCAATGTTCTATTGTGATTGCAAACGGATAGATGACTATTAATCGGTAAGGCTCGATGTAAAGTTAATTCACTAAATTTTAACACGGTCCTTTTTAAGATTTAAATCAATTAGAAACATAAACGCCATTTAGGACCTGGCACAGGTGGAGGTAGCCAATTAAATTACTATGTGAATCCATATACCGTATTTTTTCCAGCCTGTCCTGCAGCGCGCCGATACTTTCCGGATATAACGCAGGTTTTTCGCTAGGTTGTTCGTTAGGTGGGATCATTATCGTCGGTGAATTCACGTGTTATAATATTGCTGATAAATTAATTGTACTAATTTGTAAATTTTTGATGACTTTAGGATCCCTTTAAAACGTCTCCGGCAATACAAAGGAATGGCTACGAAAGAACTGTGGAGGCTTAACATTAACTGTGGAGGTTCGTTATCGAGGAACGAAAACATAATGGGCGATCGTTGCTCTTCTAGGGCTAGTATTTATAGTCAGATCTTATATTCAAGACTGTCTCAAGATTATCTTTGGAGACTCTGTAGCCAATGAAATGTTCCGTAAGGCATCTTTAGATAAATTCAAGACGGTCTTGAATATAAGATGCGCCTATAAATACCGGCCTAGGAGGCCCAACAGCAAGAGGCAAAGGACTCGGGCGAAACATTTTTAATATCTCTTTTAAATCGAGAATAAAATTATCGCAAACTGTCGTATTCTTTTACACTGTTACATCTTTTCCTGAAATTCTGGCACTTGCTATTTATTGCAAAACTCTGAAATTGCGATTAAAACATGTTTTGTTGCGTAAGAATTTTTTGACTGGTACATTAAATTCGTCTTCAGAGCAACAAGAACAAGCCTTTGGCTGATCATGGGGAGAAACACCGTAAACTATTATTAGCTTGGCAAAACCTGGGGAAAAAGGAGAGGGAAAGAAGAGCGCTTTTCTTTTTTCGATTTCCGGTCCTGTGGATATCGCTGTAAAAACTGGTTGATTCGCTACATTGAACAAACACAGAAACAGCTATGAAGACCACGAACTAAATTAAAAAGAGCCGATTCAAGTGATACTCGGTGGTGCGCGAGCCAAAGTGTGTGACGGAAACGTCAATTGACTTTTGACAGACATTTGTAATTAATTAATTAATTTTTTTTTGTGGTTTCAGGTTGGCGCGCGCAGACGCGAGACACACTAACGAAAGACGAAACATGGAAAATGAAAAATAGAAAGAGGACGTACCGGCGGTGATCGATGTCGAGAGGACGAGCAGCAGACAAGTCGACGACACCCACACAACGGCGCAGGCAAGCCCACCGTTGCAGAAATCACGGCGCATCCTCAGCGCATCAAGTAATTTTTGGAGCCGGCCGCTATTATCTGGAAACACAATCGCGTCCTGATGAAAATGCGAGCCGTTCGCGATAGCCGGGGACGGCGATGCTAATTGCCCATGGGAGCCCGTGCTCGTCGAGCGATCGTTCACCTTTTCTCGAAACGGGAGGTTCGGAGGACGGCCCTGTCCCTCATTTCAACGCGATGCACTCTTAATAAATCAACGGCGAGGCCCGTCGACTTTTCCCTCAAGCGCAGCGCATCTCCGCGGAAATACCGTCACGGTACCTCCTTACCTTCGTAGTCACCGCCAGTCAGGCACCTCCCCTTTAAAGCCGGAGGAATAACAATGGAAGTTATGTCTCCTTATTCGTTATACCGCGGGGAATATTCTAATGCGCTCCCTCCTACGTTATTCATGAGTCGAAGTCGACTTTAAGATCTACGAATTGTCGGGGCGTCTTTCGTTTCTTTTTACTCGTCTCCTTCCCTTTGTGTCTCGTTACAAGCCTTGGCTGCGACGTATCGTTTCTTCTCGCGGCGATTATGCGGCCGCGCCCGCCGCGACTCATCCCGAGGTGCTCCTCAGGCGGGTTCGTAATTAAAAATAAAGGCAAGAGGATCCCGGCGCGGCCGGCTCTTGTCTGCCGTTGGTGTAATTCTTACGTCAATATATTCATTAATTGCGATATTATTGATCGTAACGTCGCTGTTACCGCGTATAGAAACGTAACCGCATTACTGCAATTAATAGCAGTCGTTGTTATATCGTTGATATCAGTTTACGCAAACCACCACGCAGCAAGATGATAACAAAAAGATTTCTCAAAGTTCTCTCATTTAAGATTTGGACATCCAAAAATACCTTCTAAAAGGCAATGTAATGAAATCAGAAGGAGCTCTTATGCGCCACTTGCAGAGAGATGAAAGATTTCTTCCAAAAGTCATCAAAAAGATAACTTTTTGAGATATCCTGTAATAAGAGATCCTGAAGTCATCTGTTTTACCGATACATTCGAATATAGTTTTTGCGCTGGTAAATCTTTTTGTTAGCTTTTATGCACAAAATAATAACAGGATAAGTTGCGGACCGCATAGCAGAACATTTTCATACTTAAAACACTTAGGTCAGACGTCTAATGAAAGAGATATTGGTATTTGAAACTTTCAATTTTTTAATCGTGACCAATTTGAAATTATCTTTATAAAATTACAAAATTCTTCCAGAGGATTATAGTACGCATAAAAACAAAGCGGGGGGTTTCACGACTTTATATAAAGAACGAAGAGCAATTAAAAATATCAGCATGTGAAACTGTCACCTAACCACAATTGCTTATAAAGCGATATTTTTAATTTCTCTTCGTTCTTTATATAAAGTCGTGAACCCCCCCGCTTTGTTTTTATGCGTACTATAATCCTCTTGAAGAATTTTGTAATTTTATAAAGCCAATTTCAAATTGCTCACGATTAAAAAAATTTCCAATTTCAAATACCGATATCTTTTTCATTAGACTTCTGATCTGAGTGTTTTAAGTACGAAAATGTTCTGCTATGCGGTCCGCAACTTATCCTGGCATTATTTTGTACATAAAATGTAATAAAAAGATTTACTAGCGCAAAAATTATATTCGATTGTGTCGGTAAAACGATTGTGTCTTAAAAAAAATTTTTTAACAAGTTCGAAAGGAATTTTTGACAATGTAAAGGACAGAAATGGCATGAAGGAAAATCATACAAGCGTAGACAAGAGATCGTATAAAACAGCTCACTTTAACCAGAGGAAAGATAAAAATTTCATGCGGGTGTATCAATTTATAATACCACGTGCAGTTTTACTTACGAGAAAGTGCTACGCCGCGCGTCCTCTAGCGGGAAGTTTGACAGGTTTCCCATGTTAACATTAAATAGACGTCAGAAATGAGATATCATAAAGAGCTTTTTTGAAAGACATCTTATAGAAGTCACTTTTAAGATGACATTTTAGTGTCGATTTGAAGAGATTTATTAAACTCCCTTCAAAATATACCTTTCAGGTATCTTGTGTAAGAAATCTCTCGAGCAAGATGCCTTTTAAACCTCTTATAACAGATGTCTTAAGACATTTATCTGGTATCGTTTTTCATTACTTCTACATCTTAAGGAGATCTTTCTGACACAAATGCTGCGTGGGGTAATAATGTTTGGACCGACAATTAATTGTTTTGGACAACACGATTTAATTCAAACAATCAAATCCCGACGAGCAACCCTTTCAGGGAATATAGAGACGCTCCGCGCGTAATCGATAGGGAAAAGTTCTCTATTACGAGATAGGTTTCTGATACGTGGTTTTCAACATCCAAATTCAATCGCAAATCTTTTTTCGCAACGATTACACGATCTAACGATGAATTCTCCGCTAAACAGAGTTCGCTCCGAGAGCAATAAATTCGTAGTGGAATCAACGAATGATGTCTATTAATCTAATGGCCGTTTCTACCAATGCAGATTAACTTTAATCTCGGCTTGAATTATTTCTTGTCTTTTTCCAATTCGTAAAACTAGAAAAAGATACAATGTAAGCTGAACCGAGATTAAAGTTAAACTGCGCTGGTAGAATTGGGTATAACGGAAACTTCGCTATCTGATATTAGGAGATCTAGCTCATAATAGGAGATTTCCTCTAAACTAAGAAAAATTTCCATCGGATAAGCCAATTAAATAGTGTTTCCGGTGGTTAACTTTTCCGGTTACGTTTTCCGATAAAATTATGGATACATCCGATGAAATTTATCCGATAAAATGTGATTGAAAACCCGATCATATTTTTCATCGGATATACAATTTAATTGGATGTATCCGTTTGTTATTATGTAATTGGATTATCCGATCATATTTAATTGGACATTTTTCTCAAATGATACCCGCGGTAAATATTTCAGGTGTTATCTTCGATTCCAAGATTTATAATGCAAAGTAGCCCCCCCCCCCTCTCTCTCTCTCTCTCTCTCTCTCCCCCTTTCCCCGACGGGACCGTCTTTAATGCACCGTACTTGATGATTTATATGGCGATAGCTGGCAAGGCGGCTGCTCGACGGTGAAATTACCGGCGCGTTGCGGCGGTTACATCCTCTGGGAAGTCCCCGAATTTAGGGTGTAGCCAGGGGAACATGAATAATGCAACGATAGTGGGATATGGCCGTAATGCCATGCCACTTCTTGGTGCATGGTGGCAATTACATGGAGCAATCGCGCTGAGATTATACGAGATTAGTCGTTAGTATGTGTCGACCGTCGAGACGGAGACGGTGATTTCTACGCGTTGCGTTGAACGTGGTTGACGAGCAGCAGGCTTCTCCTCGCCGGAAACCCCGACGTTCTCCAACTTTCGTTTTACCACGCGTATCGATAAGGAGAGAGGCTACGATATGAACTTTATTTCCCCTCGACACGGTCGCTCTTCGTTACTTTTTTTTCCCGCAGCCACGCAGAAGAGCGTGTACCGTTAAAAATGCAGCGGCTAAAGATGACGGATGTTCTCTTCATCTTTCATGAAGATGTGTCATTCATATTCGTCCGAATCGACCTGAATAAGAGAACGAGCTCGATCGAGAAAGTTTTCGTCCATTCGCGCTTTATTTAAGGCACGGCCCGTTAATTATTCGTGACGGCGATGGGTTAATGGGACCGAAAGGTGGGCTCGATTGAGCATAAATGCGCCCGTTATATTTGTTGGAGACCATTCTAATGTAATTGCGGAGTTAAATGCAGCTCGGCGTTTTTAAATAAGTTATAATAGAGGTTCACAAAGTTAAAACAGAACGGAATAAAGATTAATTTTTTCAAGAAGAAGCGCGCATTGGATTGCTGCCGTGTCGAATCCTCCAGTCATAGCTATTGTACTTTACAAAAACAAATGAGCAAGTAGAAGTCGGTCCACACTAATCGTCAGTCTTTTCGTAACGTTAAAACCATTTTGCCATACTTGTGTATTCGAGCAAACGGCCAGGGGGGTCAGTTCTGTATCTTACACCGTAGTGAAAATGCTAAAAGTGAGCGACTCTGTCTCTTTTTAAGGGGACGGTTAGAAAGAGACAATGCCATTCACTTTTAGCATTTTCACTACGGTGTATAAAGATACAGAACTGACCCCCTGGCCGTTTACTCGAACACACAAGTATGGCAAAATGGTTTTAATGATCGGTGTGGACCGACTTCTTTTACTTGCTCTTTTGTTTTTGTAAAGTACAATAGCTATGACTGGAAGAATATGCTAAAAGCGAATGGCATTGTCTCTTACTAACCGTCCCCTGAAAAAGAGACAGAGCCGCTCACCTTTAGCATTTTCTATACCGTAAGATACAGAATTGACCTCCTGAATATATTACGGCGACGTTATACACGTAGAATAAATCAGAAACAATATATATCCGAACGGAATGTGATATATCGAATGGAATAATCGTTGTTGAATCAAGCGATTGAACCAAAGGGCTAATGAACGAGCGCGAGCTTCATTACGCTCTGAAGCGCGTTCTCCATCGCGGCATCGCCGCTTTTATATCGGCATTATCGAGCGATTCGACTCTCATCCCCGGCACCGAGTTTCTACTCGATCGACGATATTTTCCTCGATGGTCCGCATAAACCGGGGTCTACTCTCTCACGGTTGATTCACCGGATGTGGGTCACTCGTCGTCATCGGCGTCTTCCTTCCGGATCTTATGTTAGCCTTCAACTTTCTATTGTCGCGGCGCGTCGTACGGATCCCCGAATGCGTCACCGTCGGTACACTTTCGTGAGAAAAAGAGGAGAAGGAGGAAGGCCCCGCTTATGAGAGAGGGCCGGGCGGAGGACCGGCGTCTCTTCCAGGGAAGGAATCTCGCCGTCAGTCGCGTGAATGGGAAGAGAAGTCGAAGTCACGTCGGGCGTACAACCGGAATCGGGGGGGACGGGCCGCGCCGACCGGCCGAGGAGAAAAGGAACAGGACGCGTCGTAACCCTTTACATTCTTCGGGGATAATAAGTGGCACGGTCATATAATAAATGCCACGATGCGGTTT